CATAGGCATCTTTCTAAGAAAGAATATCAACTTGGAACTTGTAGCAGCTTGCTAATTCAAGAACGGAACCTTCTGATGGCAGCAAATGCCTTTTAGAATAATTTGAGGTTTCTTTGACTCATAAACTAATTGACTTTCCTCAAGGTCCCCCAGGAATCACCGGGTCAGTCTTCAGTCTTGGCAGATTTCTGCTGATGTCTCAAAACAACTCCCTGAGTACAGAGTTTTCCGGACTTTTCATGTTAAAGACAGATTGTGGCAGCCACGTTTCCATAGTATGTCAAATGACAGTGTAAAGGGGTATTCCATTGGTAAACCCCCCAAAACAGCCTTCTGAAATAAATGCCTTCTCCTAAGAAGAGCATACTTGCCTTGCAAATATAACTTCAAGATAAGTTATCAAGACATTGCCTTCCAAACAAGCTGCCCCTCCCGAAGTCCCTTCTACATGGAAGGGAGAGCTACTGTGTCCTTCACTCTGACTCTTCAGCTTGTCCCATCATTAAATTTCCACTTCTATTGGAATTGGGATGGAGTCTGAGCATAATTATGGTGTCACATACATAACAATTGCCTCAATTTTACAGAAGTTGGAAAGACTCATCTTTTAACTTTCTCCAACCCAGCACAAACCTTAAGCTCTGACTTTTTAAATGGGCAAGAAACTAAATCCCTAATTGTTTTCTTATCCTCTGAAAATCTACTACCTCTGCAACTCCTTCCCTGAATATCGCAACGCAGAATGTTAACCCTCTGCCTTGACACCCGTATCCTCTGCACCACTCATTTTGGCCATGAGTTCCACATTGTCTTTGTTGCTTTGTTTCTTGTGGGCCTTATCTCATCATGTTCCCCTTCTGTCACTAATGAGTTGTGCGACATGGATACTATCAATCCATCTCTCTTGCTTCCAGAAGATGTTTTAAAAACCATGTTCCCCAAAGTGGAGTCAAGAGTCGCCACTTGGGGAAGAAACATTAAAGAAGGAAATGTTGGGGGAACAGTCCACACCCACCTTCCCTTCAACCAGAGAAGCTCCATCAGTATCTCTTTTGATAGATTTTCCTAGTTCTGCTGCATGAAAAAATGTTTTAAAACCACTGGGTTAGAAGGTTTCTAGAATTCTTTCTAGTCAGTCTGATGTCCTAAAAGAATGTCAGTTCCATGTGGGCTCCTTCTGAGTCTTCGGGGTTCTTCTACAGCACTCAATCCAGACTTTCCAACTTTTGCTCCTCTTTGCACTTCCCTCTAAAACCCTATTTCAAGTACTCTCATCCATTATGACTTCAACCATTTTCTAGGCACTGGTGATTACCAGCAAATCTAATCTAAAAAAGGAGATACGAATTTCCAGTCACCTTCCAGGATTTCCATTTAAATACCCTGGGGTGGGGGTGCTGGGTGGCTCAGTTGGTTAAGCATCTGCCTTTGGCTCAGGTCGTGATCCCACAGTTCTGGGATCAAGCCCCGGGTCGGGCTCCCTGCTCAGGGGGGAATCTGCTTCTCCCTCTCACTCTGCCCAAACCACCCACCCACCCACCCGCCGCCACTTGTGTGCTCTCACACAATCTCTCTCTCCCAAATCTCCCAAATAAATAAATAAAATATTTAATAATAAATAAATAACCTAAGGGAATCTCAAGCCCACATTGAACCCATCCCACTTCTACCTCACCAGCTCCAAACCTTCTCTTTCTCCAGTGTATTGTGTTTCTATTCATAGTGCTATCAGCCAACTGGTCACCTAAACTACAATGACAAGGGTCGCCTTAGTTGTCCTACTTCCTTCCTGCCCTGCATTATATTCATGAACATATCCTTTCGGTTCTCCCTCAGTGATGTCTCTTTATGCTTTCTCCTCCATTCTGCCCCCTCCACCTGAATTCAGGCCTTCCTCATCCCCGCCTCATCTACTGCAAGAGCCTAACGACTGCCCCCTAGCTCCCACGTCTCCTTCCTCCAGTTCAGCCTCCACACTGCAGCCCAAATCCCCTCTAACATACAGACCTGATCACACTATTCCTATTGCTTAAGGATCTTTTAGGACTACCAAGAACCTATTGCATGTGATCCTAACATCAACACCTGGGCCTGGCACCTTATATACATCACAACATGGGTCTATTCTACTTTTCTAGCTTCAGGTCCTGCCATTCACCCTATCATCAGAACACAGACTGTGGCAGGCTTTCTCAAAGCATGAGCCATCATACAGAACACTTATAAAAAAATGTAAATTCCGGGGCCCTATCTATAAACAGTTGTGTTGTATAGCCTCATGTGAGGCCCCCAAATCTACATTTTAAGAAGGACTCTAGGTGATTCTAATACATTCCAAAATATTAGAATCCTAAACCATTTGCCTACTTTACTAGATGTGACTATACCAATCCTCAAAAACTACATACATATCATAATTTTGTGCCTTGGCTCAAAATGTTTCCTCTGCTGATTTGCCCATCCTACTTCTATCCCTGAAAACAAAACAAAGCAAAACAAAACAGAATAAAACAAACTTCTTATTAAAAGCCCAACATAAATGCCCATAAAATGCTTTTACTCTTGTATCCACACCCCTCCCACCGATGCTCCACTAGCATTTCGCTTGTTCTGCTATTAGGATTGTCACAGCATATCACAGTTCTGCATATGCTTCTCTCCCTCACCAGAATGTGGGATTCAAATGAGCATTTTATTTACTTTTTACATCTCTAGGCTCTAATACTCACAGTGAATAAATGTCTAACTGGGAGGAACTACGTAGCACTAATTCAAATAAATATTCATTCAATTTAATTTAATTATTAACTCACATGAGGCACCCAGGTCTCCCAGTACATCATGGAAACAGATCTTTTCTGGCTCTTTGGGCACATTTTCTCTCCAAAGTCATCATCCAACATCAAGCCAACTACATCACAGTTTTAGAATGGCCGCACCTTGTCTTTATTTGAGCCACAGAGAGTGTATTGAGGTGCCCTGGCAGATGTTTGGCCTCAGCTGTACAATATCTATGCTGAGAAGCCCTCAGTTCTTCCTTCAGCAAGTCAGTTGAACAACAAGAATTTCTTGTGTACCAACATTTGCCAAGTTCTCAGCATTGCGAGGAACCGAAGGATTCATTAGGGTCTCCATCACCTCCATCCCCATATCTTGTTCTTCACACAAACAAACAAAGTAGGCAATGGCCAAAGTCCCTTGCAATATTTCACCCTTAGACTAAGAGGCTTAGTCCCCCACATTCTGTTACAGAGTGGTTGATGTGCATCTCTAACCTGTGCCTGCAATCTAGACCTGGATAATAATTTATAAAACATACAAAGTAATGGACCATCAAGAAAAAATGTTGCTCTTTCAAAGATCCCCAAGTATGCATCTGTATGATAGACTACAATGACTCCAAAGGAAGATTATTGTCTTTAGAGTAAATAATGCATTTTTCCCCCCACGTCTCGAAGCCTGTATTTAAATGATTATTCATGGGTGTTGTGGGAGACTTTAAGCCTTAGCTTGGCAATTCCCAACATAAAAATGGGTAATGTTTCAAAAACCTTGTTTATGAGTCACCTGCCCAGAAACTCACTATTGCCTCTTACATTAAATTCCAAATTCCCAGGCCAACCCCCCAAATCTATTTATCTCATTACATACCTGAAGGGTATTCAGTGACACCTACCCCTATTTACAACATTATTCCTTTGAGAAAATGTACTCTAAATTCTCAGTCAAGTGACATGTAAATACATTTCTGCCTGCATTCAGAGGCACATGGGGATGAAAATGAGAAGTGAATGAGCACAGACATGCAGACAGGGATCAGAGCCCTGTTGATCTTACACATACATTCAAAAAATGCCGTTCTCTACATGATGATTGCTCATTAGGGGCAAAGAATTATAGCCTCCACTACCAAGAGAGATTTTCAGAATTTGAAGTGACTACCACCCTTTCCTTGCTACACAGTTGAAACACAAACATAGTTAAAAGAAGATTTGACATTGACTCTGGAACTGTCCAACCTCTTGTCTATATTTTCAATTTTCCCCTAACTCCATTAAGGGCCTATTATAATTAGTATACGTTTTAAATAGGTTTTAAATGGCCACACCATAGAAAGTATCTTCTTATTATGAGTCAACGTAAAAGCAAATAAATTTACAGTTTCAAAATATAAAATAGGCCCTTTTAGATTAAAAAAAAAGAAGAAAGAAAACCTAGTTGTTGTTTTTTCTATTATTAAAATGTAAAGGATTTTTAAAATCTCATTTATTTTGTCAATTGGTTCTGCTTAACATTCTTCAGCCCAGTCCACTCTCAATTATCCATGCTAAGGAAGGTGGATCAGTGGCCTGGATAATCTAAAACAGCAGACAATTTTAAAAGTCCTTGTATTTGGCCCAGGCATACTTTACAATCAAACTCTGATTATCCACACTAATGAGAGGAAGAACAGGCACCTTGAGAGAGATCCAAAGCCAATATGGACGTGCTCAGCTGGTTTAGGGCACCCTGAGGCAGAGGCCCATGGAGCATAGCAGAAGGAAAACCACACGGCCCCAGCTACCACAAATGATGACCACCCATGCCATCCAAAATACCAACACACAGCTAGAGTGTCCATATCAACACCTCTCATGATATTAGTCATCTTTAGAAGCATGGAAGTATGGGGCACCTGGGTGGATCAGTCGGTTAAGCATCTGCCTTTGGCTCAGGTCATGATCCCAGTGTCCTGGGATTGAGCTCCCTGCATCAGGCTTCCTGCTCAATGGGGAGTCAGCTTCTCCCTCTTTCTCTGCTCTTCCCCACCCCGACCCCCCACTCCTGTTCTCTTTCTCAAATAAATAAATAAAATCTATTAAAAAAAAAGTCTAGAGTTATGTCCAAATGCCCCCAGGTAAAAAGGCACACTGTTCCAAACAGTTAATATAAGGAGAGATTTTTCATGTGTACTAAAAACCTCTTTTAGGTGTTCCCTTTGCCTCACGCCACTCCCCCACCTCTTAGTCCTCTACCAAGTTCATGGTAACATGATCGGAAGAGGGGTATAAAGGCTGGAGATGAAGGAAGCAGCATGTGGGAGTAGGAAGTGCTCCAGCTTGGAAGGTGGGAGGCCTGGATCTTTGTCCCCTGTTGGTCTCTATTCATGCCAGCAGTCAGGTGTGCACCCAAGCAGAGGGAACACTGAGTTCAGCAGGACATGAAGGTCATGGCACATTTAAAGAACGGCATGTGCTCTACTTTGGTCCAAGAAGAAGATACAAATGAAGAAGAAGCAAGAGGTGAAGCTGGGGATGTAGTCAGAGGTGAAAGTACAAAGAGTTTTTTTATGCCATGCCAGAAGTACAGAAATTATTCTGTGGAAGGTAGGAAGACAATAAAAATGTTTTTAATCATTGTTAAACCTTACTGAACACAGTTTGCCCAGGACTGCTCTAAGCATTTCATGTTAATAAACACATTTAATGTTTGCAACAACTATTATTGTTGTTCCATTTTATAAATGAGGAAACTGAGGACGGCAAAGCTCAGGAGTCTCTGAGATCCCAGAACTGATAAGTGGTGGAGTCAGGATTCAAAACTGGCCTGTTTGATTTAAGAGCTCTTGCTATCTCTCAAGAAATGGAAGGTTGTGGTCAGAACTTTAACAGACCACACTATAAGCAATGTGCTGGAGGGATTGGAGGAGTAGAGGGGAGGGAAGGATATGTCAAGAAGACAAGAGCTGGTGAGTCCCAGAACTAAAGGAAAGGTGGTAGTAATGGAGAAGAGAGGGTAACCAAGAGCTTAAGAGGAGCTAGAATAAAAAAAATAATAATAATTGGTTAAATAAAGGAGAGAGGAAGAGGAAGAATCTAGCATGAGTCCCAGAGTGCTGACCTGGGCACTGTGTGATGGCCTAATAATTTTTCTTTAAGATTTTTATTTATTTATTTGACACAGAAAGAGAGAGACATAGAGAGAGGGAACACAAGCAGGGGGAGTGGGAGAGGGAGAAGCAGGCTTCCTGCGGAGCAGGGAGCCCGATGCGGGGCTCGATCCCAGGACCCTGGGATCATGACCTGAGCCAAAGGCAGATGCTTAACAACTGAGCCACCCAGGTGCCCCTGGCCTAATAATTTTTAAAAACCTTGTGCACTAATGAACTTACCTGGGAAGCAACCCCTACCAGATGGGCAGGCCCAAGAAGGAACGGCACAAGTAATGCTTTTTTGCTCCAGTACAATGCTGGCACACGCTCATCCAAATAAACAAATGTCCCATCTTAACTGATGAATTGGATAGTGATAAAACAAAAAAAAACTCATGTACAAATATGTAGGCTAATAGGTAGAACCTATACTCCAAAGAAATGATTGAGGTACAGCAATTTTTTTTCTTGTTTTTCCAGGTTAAATATATTAACTCACATTTCGCTTTCCATGTAACATCCATGAGCAACTGCAGAAAGACAGATAAGAGAGAAAAATCACAGGATGAGGAGGAAAGATGCAGGCATGTTATAGCTTATCAAGATAGCTGTAGATGTCATAAAAAAAAAAGCCAAAACCATTTATAGAACATTCCTATTAGGGTGAAAAATATAAAAGGGTATGTGTGCATGAAAGTCTGTGGATATATACAAAAAGACTAGAAGTATATACTCAAAATTTGAAAATAGCTCTCTGAATGACTCTTATTTCTTGCTTTATTTATATGTTTTAAGTGTTTTATAATTATCTTGTATTATTTTCATAATACAAAAAAGATTTTTCTAAGCATTTGTGATAAGCATCTATATTTAGAGCCCTGCTGATACAAAAGAATACACAGGTAGGCAGACACTTATGCATAAATAACCCACATATGCCAATAGTGATGGCAGTGGGTATCTGTCACCACTGCCCTTGAAGCCAGTGGAGGTACTAGAAAATTTGGTACATGGAGAGTCTGTGTGTTGAGAATAAAAGGTGGTAAGAAATGATGAAATGTGCAAATGGCTTAGAGGAGCTGACCTCAGAAGCAGATGCCTGGACGTGGTGCCCATTTACATCATAGTATTCCTCGTCCACCATGCCTTTCTCATGTTGTCTGAATATTTCACTTTCTCCCATTACATTGTCCGAAGTTCCATCAATTCCACGTTATCTCATCTTCTTTCTAAAAAGCCTAAGACTAGACAATGTTAGTGATGAGGTTGGAAGTGTTAGTGATGAGGAGGAAAATGATAATGGTAAGACGAAGAAGAGGGAAATTCACTTGCTAACTTGGAACAATGCTTCATGGTTTATGAGGTACATCCATATACTGACTCATGTTAACAGACTTCATGTTCAAGGTGGGAGATGGAGTATACATATTTAATATCTCTCCCTTCCAACCCCATTGAAATGATAGTAAATAAAAAGAAAATCCACAACTGAGCTGAAAACAAAAGAAAAAAAAAAAACTGTCCCAATAGAATACCACATTTAGTAAAGTATTTCCAGATAATAGAAAGAAAATAGAATTGTCTAAATTGTCTGAGAAACTAAAGCAAAGAATTACAACACAAACTTACACTGAAGACCGGTGCTAAGGGTAAAGGGGAGATCCCTTGGGGAATCTCTGGTTTAACCAATGCAGAGAGCAGAGCAGGCCTCAGAGAGATCATCAAGATAATTAAAGTATTATCTATCATACTGCTGGCTTGATTGGTTCTTCTCTCCCATAAACAGAGCAGTTGGTACTCCCTTGGCCCATGTTGAAATCCTAAGAAATGCTTAATAAAAGTGAGAGAGGTGCTAGGAAATGATCCTTACCAACGGTACTGAAATGGGCAAGAGAAGTTGAACAAACTCAAGCTAAACATGAACTTGAAGAGGAGTAGGGACAAGAGACATGAAAGTAACAAGCAAACAATTAGACGGAGAAAGACAAACACTGTATGATCTCACGTGGAATCTTAAGACAAAACTCATAGAAAAAGAGATCAGACTTGTGGTTACCAGAGGCAGGAGGTAGCGAGTAGGGGGTTGGAGGAAGGTGCTCAATAGGCACAAACTTCCAGTTATGAGATAAATAAGTCCTGGGGGCACAATGGATGACATGACGACTATAGTTAACTCTGCTGTATGGTGCACTGGCAAGTTGCTAAGAGAGTAGATCCTAAAATTTCTCATCATAAGGAAAAGACCTTTTTTCAAGGTGTGTGGGTATGTATATGAGATGATGATGATGCTAAGTGGCCTTACTGTAATGATCATTTCACAATATGTGTAAGTCAAGCCATTAGGCCGTACATCTTAAACTTATACTGTATGTCGATGACATTTCAATAAAATTGAAAAAATAGACTTAATAAAAATATAAAATCCTAAAAAAAAGCAAACAAAAATATTCTTCCTTAAAATCCTTGAAATCTGGCAGTTATTGAGCTCTAAATCTTGGCTTTTTCCCCTCATATATAGTCCTTTATGAGAAGATTGACTATCAGTAGTTCCCATTCATTTATACAGAACCCTGCTTCTGATAAAGTCAGCCCTGTTTCAGTTAAATAGAACTATTTAACTTTAAAAAACAACCTAACTCAGACACTGATTTTTTTTCTTTGTGGTTTTTTTTATTTAAATTCAATTAGCCAACATATAGTACATCATTAGTTTTAGATTCAGAGTTCAATAATTCATCAGTTGCATATTAACACCCAGTCCTCATCACATCCCGGACCCTCCTTAATGCCCATCACCGCCGCTACCCCAACCCCTCACCAACCTCCCCTCCAGCAACCCTCAGTTTGTTTCCTATAATTAAGAGTCTCTCATGGTTTGTCTCCCTCTCTGATTTCTTCCCATTCAATTTTCCCTCCCTTCCCCTATGATCCTCCGCCCTGTTTCTTATATTCCACATATGAGTGAAACCATATGATAACTGTCAACATTCTCTTTCATTCATAAACATGAACAGACCCCTGAAGGATCAATAGACTTTGGACAAAAACAAATAGAATGAAAAATAAGGTCCCAAATAAGCAAATAACCCCAAAACCTCAAAGTGATACTGAAAGAAAGAAAGGAAGAAAGAGAAAGACAGAAAGCAAGAAAGGGAACTTAATTTTTTTTAAACTAGCATTCTTTAGAAAACAAAACACAGCTTCTTGAAAACGAAGCAATCGAAGAATTAATTAAAAAACCTAAAAATACAATTCCACAATTAAATATTCAATATTGGAGTTGAAAAATAGAATGAATGAAGCTAAAGTCCAAATTAGTAATCTGGAAGAAAATGTTGAGGAATCATCCCAGATCCAAAGAAACATAAAATACAAGAAAAATTTCTCCCATATTCGCCCAGTGAAATTTCAATAAAAAGAGATGAGCATTAGAAATTGTACAGGTGAAGGGTGCCTGGGTGGCTCAGTCAGTTAAGCATCCAACTCTTGGTTTCGGCTCAGGTCATGATTCTCCTGCGTTTTGAGATCGAGCCCTCCATTGGGCTCAGTGGTCACAGGGGAGACTCCTTGAAGATTCTCTCCCTCTACCCCTTCCCCAACTTGTTTGCATGCACATGCATGCGCTCTCTCTCTCTCTCTCTCTCTCTCAAATAAATAAATAAATCTTAAAAAAAAAAGAAATTCTATAGGTGAGAAATTTGAGGCTTAGAGAAGTTAACTGATTTAATTCTCTAGTAGTTCACAAATAGAATTGGATATATTCCAGATGTGTCCCAGTCATAAGCCCAAGGTTAAAATTCAATCAGTACATGTCCTTGTGGCCCCAGTGCTTGTTTATAGCTGGCACCCACTCTTATTGGTTCATGTGGGTGCCAGTCTGGTCAATATTAGTGGTTTACAGCTCCACTCTTCATGGTCTTAGTGGTCCCATACTGGTTGTTTATGGCTGCTGTCTACTCTCACTAGTCAACGCAAGTGCTAGTCTAGTCTATACCCATTACAGTTGGTTTCTGCTTGGGTGTTGAATGAATTAATGAATATTTGAATATCATTCCTGCCTAAGCCCATACTCTTCCAATGATGCCCATATAATTTCATGGTACAATCAAAGAAAGGGGGATGGATTAAATAGGGGATGGAGATTAAGGAGTGCACTAGCTGTGAAAAGCACTGGGTGTTGCATGGAAGTGTTGAATCACTGTATTGTACACCTGAAACTAATATTACACTGCATGTT